AAGTGTAAATTAACCATTTTAAGTCATTAGTTTCAACTATAATGCTTTTCTGTCATCGTTAGCTAAATGTTATTGGTTTTGGACTGTTGGACAGACAAAACAAGACATATGAATGTTGTCTTGACCCATAGGACAATTTCATAAGCATTTTCACTATTTTCGGACATATGAAAGACCAAACAATGAATCGAGAACATCTGTAGATTAAACGATGATAAAATAACATTAGTTGCATCCCTATTTCACTATATTATGCTTGTGGAGGTTTACCTATTTAGGCCTTTATTATTCATGAAACAATCACTCCGCCGGTAGTACAAAGCCAGTAGTAAGTCTTTTTACCCTATGACTGCTAACTGCAGGCATAGGGTAAAAAGGTTGGGAACCACAGTGACATATAATATATAGTTACTAGTCAGTCCTCTGCAGTTCCTCCTTGTCCCAGTAGCACTCTCAGGTTATCTGTGTTTAAGTTAACATGCGTTAACTTGCTTTGTAATTTACTACAACGCTTCTTTTTTGACTTTTATGTTCTGGTTTTCTTTGTCAGGACGAGGACCTGGGGAGCTTTCTTTCAAATCTACTGAAAAAAGGACTTCCATCTGGACTGTGCTGAAACATCTTTTGTCCCAAAATTATGAAGATTTGAAGGACATTTTACTCTAAAAAGAATTCATGTGCCGTCAAGATTTTGAACTTGGATTTCTAAAGGCTTGAGACTCCCTCCCATCGCAGAGAATTTCACGTTCTTATTGTGTAAACCTCATCAACATTAAGGCTAAATTCCCCTTTCACTGTTGGGATAGGGATCCTTAAATGAACCCGTTATCTTAAATGTATCCAGGCTGCTGCCCTGATTGTCTTTTTTTAGTGATGTTGCAGACTTTTTCATGGACTCATTTATAGACTGAACTGCACAAGATAAAGAAAAATAAACTCATATACTGATTTCTCCCTTTATTTTGATGTACAAAGCCAGTTTGAACATTTTTATTAAAAAAATAGAAAATTACAATGACAATGAAGCATATACAGAGCTATATTTATAGCAGGCATGTGCTTTACCCCCTTCGCTCATCCATCTGCAATGTTATAAACACCCCTCCTCCTTCTGACTCTTCTCCACAGCCATGTCATCTTTAAACGCTTCCATTTGAATTGGCTGGTGGTGACATAGTAAAGCACGGGGTCCATGCAAGTGTTAAGGATGACGAGCGCCATGGTGACCCGCCTGGCATTGTAGATGGCATTGACAGAGGAGCATCTCTGGATGATGTCCATTCGCCTAAGGAGATGCAGCAGGTACACCACATGGTAGGGCAGGAAGCAGAGCAGCGTTATAGCCAGGATGGTGTAAATGACTCTCACAGCTTTTTGGGCTGTTTTAGTCTTTATCATGGAAATACGGCTCGCAGCCAGTGGGTAACACACCAGGGTGATCGTGGAGGGCAGCAGGGAGCCGAAGATCAGGCACACCACGCTGTAAGCCACCAAACGTGAGCTCCACTCAGTCTTGTCGAAATTCTCGAAGCACTTGTGGCTTCCAGATTCGTCGTCATTGGTTTTCAGAGGCCCCATGAGGATAAAGACTAGCATAGCTACTCCAACCACACACCAGAGCAGCACACTCACAACCAGAGAGCACCAGAGGCTCCGCAGCCTCAAATAGGTGTGAGGATGTACAGTAGCCATGTAGCGATCCACACAGATACAAGTCATGAAACAGATGCTCATGTAGATGTTGGCAAACAACATAATCCCGGTGACACGGCAGACGACATCTCCAAACACCCAATTGTTTCCATTGATGTGGTAGTGGATCCTAAAGGGTAGAGTGCAGATGATGACGATGTCTGCCAGAGCCAGATTACTGATGTACACACTGAAGGCTGTGCGGTCAGTTGTCCTGAAGGTGAAGGCGATGAGGGCTGCCAGATTCCCCGGTAGACCTACAAGTAAAGCTATGATGTAGACTGTTGGGTAAAGGTAGTATTGGTACTCTGCTGAAGGGGTACTGCAGTTGTTGTCTGTCACATTCATCATTGCAGGTTGAGTGTTTTGTCAGTGTAATCAAGTGAAAGTCAGACAGCGTAGGTTGATTCTCATAAACGCAGGTTCTTTTCTGTAACTGTATACAAACATTTTTCCATTCAGAGTTTTTCCACTTTACTTTCACACCACCATCTTTTTTTCTGCTTTTAACACATTGTTTTGGTTCCAGACTCCATCCTTCTGTATGGTGAAACAGAAAAGGCTGCCCAAAAGTAAAAAGCTAACAGTTTCACTTCTTTCTGTTCTTGAGAGATGAAATATTTCACCATACTAATTACTTGCGACAACATACATAAATGTAATTTCAAGAATGAAAACTTTTCTGTAAAATTAGATTTCTATTTGTAAAATCTTAACCTAAACTAAACCTAGACTATATATACTAAAACAAAACATGAAATAACAAGCCTTTTGGAAAAAAACACTTACCAAGTTGTTTAGGGGCTCCTTCGCCTGATCTCCGAATGCGGAAAGCTGCGCTGCATGTTGAAAACTTGAGATGAAAGCTCAGTTTTGTTGCTACACTTTACACGTGCAGCTGAGTGTACAGTGAGTTTATACCATTGCTGCTCTCTGCTCAGGACTCCTCATTTCCTGTTTCCATTCAGATGTAAAGTTAAGAAAGGAGCAGGAAACGATAGCATGCAGTCTTTTACACGGTGCAGTGTAATAAGATACTTAATATCAAGGCATCAAGTACCAAGTTAATTTATGTATCCTCAAACAAAACAAGGTTGTACAACCAAATGATAGTTTGTTGTCCCTTTATGCTACGCACATAGAACATAACAGATAATTAAAATTATATAACAATATGGTAACACATAAAATAAAACAAAATAGTAAAACTTCCATTAAAAGTCTAGTCTCATTAGACGCCTGTTTGTGACAACTAAATAAACATCTCAGATACCTGGTCTGTTTTTAAGAAGTTTTCTTTATGTATAAAACCTCTTAAAGCCCACTGGGTACATACACCAATGTATAATTTATTCAGATTTACCAGCATGATGATTTAAATAAGGGGGGGGGGGGTCATTAAGTCTGGATATGTTTCCATTCCTTGATTATTCATATTCCTTTTGTCCGTAAGGGTTCACCGCTTAAAAGAATCAACATGGTTTTTCATAAAAATGTATCTAAGTTGAAATGACGACAGTAACCTACGGCGTTCATCCTTTCTAAGGTAGTCAATCTCTCTCTCTCTGTGTGTTCATCAGTAAGAGCCATTCATTCATAATTGATATGTTATTTGATCGCCTTATTTTTTATTAAGTAAGTAATATTCATCTTGGTTGAAATAAACAATTTGACAGTAGCCTTTAACCTATTACTTGACGTTTTACAATACATACCTTTTTATAGACAGTCTATGGTACATACACATATACATACACCTATAAACCCAGGAAATAATTCTGCAGTGCATTTTTTGAATTAGCATCTGGGATAATGTAACACTACAACCGTCATCACCACTATATTTACTAATATTTATGTTGAAATACAACACCAATCCATTAACTAACTGTTTGGTTCTTATGGGAATGAGGATGTTCTGTGTTAGTTAATGGATTGGTGTTGTATTTCAACATAAATATTAGTAAATAAAGACATCCTCATTCCCATAAGAACCAAACAGAAATTAAAGCAGCTCTCTCAGAAATAAAGACAAAAAAAAACCAAGATGCACTTCTTACAAAATATAACTACAAAATATAACTCTCACAAGGAAATCAACGTGCTTCCTTCTCATCCTTTCCGCATTTCTCTAAGAAATATACATGCCTTGCCTTTTGTTGAGGAAATATATTTTCACTCCTGTCAAACACATCCTGTAATTCCTCTGTCTTTTCATTCTCTGTGCATTGTGTACAGTATTCCTATAGTGGAACATTACATGGCATGTTTGCTGTGTGGTAATCAAACAAAAAAAAATTAGGATGTGCCCCATGTACAATGCCTATAAAAAGTATTCACCCCCCTTGGATGTTTCACCCTTTTGTTTCTTTTATACATGAAATCATGGTCAATATAATTTGGCTTTTTTGACAAGAATTTGCAAAAAAAAAAAACCTCTTTAATATCAAAGTGAAAACGGATTTTTACAAACTAATGTCAATTAATTAATAATATAATATATGCCTAGAGCTGGCCGTCCTCACAAACTCCTCACGCTTCAGGGGCTCAGATGGGAGAGACTGTACATACAACCACTGTTACCCAGGTTCTTCACCAGTCGAGGTTGTGTGGGAGAGTGGCAAAGAAAAGGCCACTGTTGAAAAAAAACTCCCATGAAATCTCGTCTGGAATTTGCCCAAAGACATGTGCTAGACTCTAAGGTCAATTGGAAGAAGATTTTTTGGTCTGATAAGACAAAAATTTAGCTTTTTGGTTATCAGACTAGACGCTATGTTTGGCGAACACCAAACAATGCACATCAATACAAACACACCATCTCCACCGTGAAGCATGATGATGCAGCATCATGCTCTGGGGATGCTTCGCAGCAGCAGGCCCTGGAAGGCTTGTAAGGTAGAGGGGAACATGAATACAGAAAACAGATCAGCTGAAATAGTGGCCCTAAAAATTGATTTTCATAGACTGACCCTCCTGGAAACAGGGCCTCAGGATCAGGTAATAAAGAAGGACCTTATCATGTCAGTATTGTGCTTTTAGTAGTAATGCATATTTCCTAATAAAATTAGTAGTTATCAAATTGCCACTAACCAGTTGCCACATTGTTGAAACCCACTGAAACCATAGAGTGAACCCTGGGCCAGTTGCCCGCTTAGCCCAGTTGTTAATTCAGTTTTGGTAGTTTGAAGTAACTTTTTAGAAATGTCAAATACAGGTTGGTATGGTTCCTAAACACTTTATTGTGGAACAAAAAAAACAATCAACGTTAGAACCGTGGATCTGATGCTTTTATTCTGAAAGACTGGGACCGGATGTTTTTCTGTGCAGCGCGGAACATGAAGTGAAATGAAAAGTAGTAGCTAACAGTTAGCAATTTTAATGTTTCAGTTAAAATGCGAATTATAATTGTTTTATTTAATAGATGCTGTACAACCAGCTAGCCTAAAAGCCAACAATGATTAACAATGTTTGTCTGTCTGTACTGGTTTAATACAAAACCGTACTGAGTAACGGGTTCACGGTAACAGTTACTGTTAGCTAACGTTAACAGCAAGCCGATCTCGTGCTATGGTATATTTAATATCATGTCATAGCAACAAAATTGAGAAAAGATTGCTTTATACCTAATAGCAGAATTTAGAGACACTTTCTGCTTTAAGTGTGCGTAAAAGATCATCTAAACACGCTTTTTTGGTCAGGAATATTTAAACTATGGATAAGTCCACAGCGGGTGCAGATGTCATATCAGATTCAGATAAATGCTACATCTGCCTAAGCCCCTTTGAAAAGCAAGCAGTGGCCTCTCTGGAGAGCTGCCAGCATGTCTTCTGCCTGGACTGTATTCTCCAGTGGTCTCAGGTAAACAGACACTTCACCTGTCACTCCGGCAAAATAGTCAGTCTTACTAATTAAAATGGTAACACCACAGTGTAGAAATACTTTGTTACAAATAAAAGTTCAAAGTATTAACACCAAAATATACTTAAAAGTAAAAGTTCTCATGCAGAATGCCAAATTTCATAATAATAGTATATTGTATTATAATTATTGGTACATTAATATGTATATCACTTATAGTTGCAGCTAGTAAAGGTGGGTCTAATTTAAATAATTTTATATATTGCTGGGTAGCTTGTAAATTTGTGATAAAGTCTTATTTTAACCTGTGTATATATCATAATTTTGTAGTATTGATCTGAATCTGAAAAATAATTCCTAACTAAGTTGTCATACATGTAGTGGAGTAAGAGGTACACTTTTTTCTTAAATATAGTGGAGTAGCAGTATAAAGTAGCTGAAAGGGAAATACCTCAAAATTGTGCATTAGTACAGTAAGTGAGTAAATGTACTTTCTTAAATTCTTCCAATAAGGCGTAACAAATACACTTTGGCAATGTCAGAAATTTGCAAGATAAACATACTTTTCTTGAAACAATTGATTTGTGTTTCAAAACAAGTGTAATGAATTAATGATCACTTGGCTCATTTATCATATATTAAGTGCTAAACAGTTTCTACTTCCAGCTTCTCAAATGTGAACACCTGCTGCTTTTGTCTGTTTTGTATAATTGTAGATGGAATATATTTGGGTTTTATACTGTGTGAATCTCTCATCTTGAATCTCAGACAGCCAACACTTGCCCGGTGGATCGGATCTCTTTTGCTTTCATCCACCAGAGACGGTGCCCAGGAGGGGCCATTCAAAAGAAGGTAATCATCTGCAGTATGCTGAAGGAAGCTTTCTGCCAAGTATTTGGAAATATATGTGGACAGTGTTGTGGGTGGGGGCTGAACTGTTTGTGCTGCTACAGATCAAAGTGAGGGCACAGGAAAAAAATGCTGATGAACAGGAGGGGAGCAACACTGTTATCTGTGAGGAATGTGGACGCAGCGACCGCAGGCACCGGCTGCTGGTGTGCATACACTGCGATTCAGGGTATGGCATTGCAGTGCACTTTAAAGTTAGACATTTTTATCTTGTCATGATTCCACCTCCAGATAACTTTAGTCTTTAATGTTCAGAACATCCCAGTGTTTGTTTATTGAAAGCAGTAGCATTATATTGAGTTCAGTAGTGAGTTACACTTGACTGACTTTGACCTGTTTCCCTATGATGTTTTTATTTCACTGAAACACAAACTACAAGCTCTTGTTGGAGCTGCTGGAAATACAGGTTAAAGGTACTTAATCCAAGAACTGTGTACTGTTGTACTTATTGTTTCAGGTATCACTTGGACTGTTTGACACCATCATTAAACACGGGTCCTGAAGGTGACTGGATTTGTCCTGAGTGTGCGGTCAGTCCTCAGCATACAGGTAAAGCTGTGTAGTTCACTAAGTAGGCGTCTGTCACCCAAATTGACACACATTATCCTGTTTTTTTACTTAACACATGTTATAATTTTTGTATTGTAGCCCTTGTGTAAAGGGCCATGCTGGTGGTTTCAACCCATTAAAAAACAAAAGTAGTTAAATGACTGTTTACAATAGGAAGTAACCATTAAAAAGCTAATATTTTCAGTGAGTAAAGAAATAGATGATAGATTATTGCAAGTAATTCAGTTTTTCTTTGTGTAAAATTGTCCCTGGACAGACATCTCCATGGTGGAGGAGGAGATCAGTGATGAAGAGCTAATGGACCTCCTAGCTGAAGTAGATGAAACTGCATCTACCAGCAGTCGCCTTCGGCCCTCAACCATAAATAATCCCAGCAGCTCCATGGAACGACGACACAGCCAGAGGATCCAGAGCAAAGCCAGAGGCGAATCCAACTCTCGCCCCCAAACCTACTGGGTCTGTTCAACATTACAGTTTATCTAGGCGGCATGAGGTGAACATGTGGAGGTCCCCACTCTCAGTATGATTATAATTTGGCGTTAATGCAAGAGGTTCACATACACAATATGTGTACTACAAATACAGTAAGTCTGTTAGTTTAACTGTTACGGCTTAGCAATATTTTCTGATATACAAACTAAATGATATATAACGTGTGTGTGTATATATATATATATATATATATATAAATCCCCCTCTCACAACTTTAATTTTAAAGTTAAGTGCAAAAGTACAGTCAAGCTAGAAAGATAGAAATACAATGCAGAGTGATTTAAAAAGTACATGAAATACCCATTTACAAGAAAATAAGGAAATATAAGTAGATAAATATTACAGTGCAGATGAGTTGTGACTTTTTTCTTTATCCAGATAATCAGAAATTATAAATCTGCTAATACTGTTTTGTGTGACTCAAGGAAAATATGAACATATGATTGTTTTCTGAAAATATAAAATGATAGAAAGTAACATCAATAAAGACAAATGTAACTGATAATGAAATGTTTTAATTATACACATTGTACAAAGACATGCCATTTCTGTCTTTTCTGTTTGGATCAGGAAACAAGAATACTATACTTCTAGTATTCTGGGTTTTCAAAGAGTACCAGGTGATCATTTTGTTTTAGAAAAATAGATGCTTAGCTCTGTCACCTAAAACAAAATACATGGTAAGTCAACTAAGATACAATACAGACACATGTTTTATTTACAACATAAACAAAAAGCTGGAAAGAAAGTTTAAAATAAAAAAATAGAATGGGGAAGAGTATGTCAACCCTGTGTATCTTACCTCTATGCCACTAGCTCGTTCAAGTAAGTAGGGCAAAGAAAAAATCTTCAAGCCGTTATTCGAGATTGTGGTTTCATTCATTTTGCAGATTGTGTGCTAGATAAAGAAATCACTGTACAGGCATCGCTGTGGCATTTCACCACACTTCCTGCTCTGTTTTCCTGAGCATGTAATGTAAGCAGCAGTGATGTGTGAATCATGAGTGAAAGAGACTCGAGTCACAAGTCCTCATCTCCACCAACTCGTTCACTGACTCACCCCTCCTACCTGCCACTAGTGTAAGCTGCAAAGACGAGGCAAGATCACATGTCGTGCTCACTATTGTGCAATTATTATATTAACTGTATTTGTGGACATATATCAAGTTAATTACTGTATTAACCCAGCCCTGTGAGAAAAGCAAGAGTCGCTATCCCAGCCCACTCCGCTACTGTGGATATTTTTTTTGAACATCACAACCCAGATCAGAATTTGCGATCCATTCAGTCCAGTAACATTCTTCATCATCGTAACACTAAAATTCAGTGTTCCTGTTGTCAGTAAAGTTGTTCTCTGAATGAGAGGTTTTAGTGCCACAGTGAGGACAAACCCTGTCCTCACGTTATCTTACATATAAATGAAGCCAATGAATTTCTTGCAGTGAAGCATACAGATCTGACATGTGTGGGAAGAGAGAACTAGTAGGATCGGTGCATCCCTAAAAATCTGTTAACATCAAAATATTCTTTTAAAACAGATGTATTGGCCTCTTTGCATTCTTTGAGTCCAGTTAAGTTTACATCTTTACTATGTCACATGAGGAAAATCTTGTTGTAGCAAGGCAGCACATAAAACACAAACACAATATAGAATACAAATGTATTAAAAGTTAATGTAATAAAAGAAAAGAAAATGTGCTGCAATATGAATAAGAAGTGTTAAAGGGCAGTTTATGGTGCATTATTAGAATTAAGAGCCCAATTTTCAGAAACCTGTATCTAAGGGGAGCATGTCAGACCCTTAAAGAGACAATGGAGCTGAATTTTCTAAGATGGATTTCTTTCTTTCTTTCTTTCTTTCTTTCTTTCTTTCTCTCTTTTTTCTTTCTTTCACTTTCTATCTTTGTTTCTCATGAAATGGTGTTTGTTTCTTTCAAAACACATAATTATTACACATTATGTTGTAAGTTTGTGTACATTTTATCATTACTGATTTTAAATATTTACTATATACAAAGACAAAAGTCAGTTGATGGCATTTTACAAAAATGCATACATTGATGTGAATATACTGGAAACTAAGGCACCATCCAGCCACATCACCAGGTGTTGCTTTGTGCTCTTTGCTTCTGATCTGTTAAAGACAATCTTCGTAACATTGGTGTTAATCTCTCAGAATTATATTGTCTTGATCTTGTTTCTGTTTCTCAGCATGTACCAAAATACCTGCTATCAGCATCAAAGCCTGCAGTTGCAACAGATGAAGTAGCTGCACCTCATCATGACACCAGCAGTGCATCAGTCAGTAAGTTAGTCAGTCAGTACTCTTCCCCGCAGTCTGTACATACTTTGATATCTAACATGTGTTTTGTGTTTTCACAGAGTTAAAGACAAGAAAAAGAAGGAAGCGTGCAACTTGAGTTTCTGATACCAAGAGGAGTAAACGTTGGAAGAGGTCTGAATGTCACAGCAGATAAAGGTGCTCTTGTCAGATATGACCACATGGTGGCAGCATTGTGTTAACAGAACAGTTAAGTGTTCAGTTTCAGGCATAAACATTATGTGAAGGAACTGACTAAACCTTTTAGCAGGTGCTTTTTTGTTTCTTTTTTAAAGTGATGTTTTTAATTTTGGCATTATTCTTTAGTTTTCTTATCGTCAATAAGTCCCAATAAAAGAAAAAAACAACAATGCGTTAGTGTGTCTCTCAATACTCTATGACCTCTCTACCCTGTCTGGAACATTTAATTACTGAAGACATACATCTTTAAAAGGTCACAAATTTAAAGTTTCATTACAAAAACTGCCCTGTAACCTTTAGCAAACATTACTCAAACAAGAGTAAATACTGCATTTTTCGAATTGTTGTCAGTGTCGGATTAATATACATGGTATACACAATGTGCGATTGAGACTGAACTACAGTGGGTGTGTGAGTTCATGTAAATGACACAGCCACACTTTTTTAAGGCATTATTGTTTCAGTAATTCACTGCAAATCTGCCAAATAGACATTCACGTATAAAGTGAATTTACATCATTTTTGACAAATTAGTATTATTCCAAAGTGGAATATAAGTTTTTACGTGAACTCATCTTTTCCAAGACTAAGTCTAAAGCCATGTTTGACTCAGTGAGGCTGTGCTTAGGTACAGTGGTGCTTTAAACTAAATGCTAACAGACTTTCTCACAATGCCGATGCTAAACCTGCTACTCAGGTTTAGCTGTTATGTTTACCAGGTTCACCATCATTTTGGCATGATAAAATATTAATAAGCACAAAGTAAAGATGATGTTAATAATAAGCATTAGGTTTTCATCATGGTGTTGGCACTAGATGAGAAATAAGGACCACTAAAGTTATTACACCTCAGCTTGAGAGGAACATGAATCTATCCATCGAAATGTTTATCAAACAGTAGTTTTTGACACACAACCACAAATGTTTACCTCATGGAGCAATAGAGGACCTGTTGGGGGCACTGGAATAAAAGCCAGGGAATCACCACAGTCAGTAGGATTAATCCTCTGGGGACTATGAATGTCTATACAACATGTCATGGCAATCCAGCAGATATTTCAGTCTGGGCCAAAGTGGTGAACTAGACCAACGTTGCGTTCACTAGAGCCGCTAACACGGATAAAATATGAGCAGAAAGTGAATGATTAAGTATGTTTTGTCTTAATCTACAGTACCATGTAAAATCATGTTCATGTCTGCAATAGGGAGCAGCTCCTCTGCTTGTCTGCAGGATCCTCTCAGCAGCGCCGAGCCTCGTCACCTGGCAACACCAGCCTCAGTGATTTCTTAGGGTCTCGTCCTGAAAGGAGGCTGCCTCAATCAGACACACTCAGATCTGCTGTTTCTGGTCATATGATATTAAATCCATCCTTTGATGTCCAAAATCATCATGTGTTGAAACAGACATCTGAACTAGTTTGTGAGAAATGCAAGAAAAAGGACATTGAGAACAAAATAAAGTGCTGAACCATGACCTTGCGTCTGCTCATCTGGCATTACAGTTAAGGTATTATAGCTCATATGTATCCATGTTGTGTGTGCGTTGTGATTCAGAGGGCGGGCACTAAACAAGCCTGCAGCTCATCTTGCCCTACTTTCCCCCCAAAACAATGTACACAGAAAAACAAATGTTCACCTTGATTGGCCAGACATGTATGCTGAGCAGAATTGTTGAAATGAACAAAATGCCCAAGCTGAGACACTGGAGGGTGTTTAAAACCAAGTGCACACAAGAAAGCACTCAGCTTCTTGTTTGTTGGCTTACCCTTACTTAGGCAATCTGCTTAGGATCACTGGAGAGCAGTTACTTGCATTGTTGATAATCCATACTGTCTACACCTTCTTTCTTTATTAGCAGTTTCACCATTTTAAATATCTAATTGAATGGACCTTCTGGCTAATCTGACCTTGGTTTTTTGGCTGAACTGTGGCTACTAGTGCTAATATAGGACTGCAAGCAAAAAAAATTGAATCATAAACCTTTGTATTAAATTTCTAAGTATGAAATTTGTAATTTTTAGCTCTAAGGATGGCAATGTCGGTGTGTGTCCACCACATTGGTAAAGAGGAATATCTCCACAACTATTGGTTAGATTGCCATGCAATTTTGTACACACATACATAGTCCCCTGAGGATGAATCCTAATGACTCAAGCACATTTATTCACATTGAGATTTGAGGTTTTCAGTGAAATATCTCAACTTATTTACTTATAAACACTCATGGTCCACTCAGGGTGAATTGCAGTGACTTTGGTGATCCCATGACTATTCATCTAGGACCATCAATCTGCTCAAAATCTTTATTTGTCCAACACTTTCCCACTGTACTTTAATAAATACCTCAAACTAATGACATTTCAATTAGCCTCAGCTACACTATGTTTTTAATGCTGCAAACATTAGCATGTTAACATGCTACTAAGACGGTGAACATGGTACATATTATACCTGCTAAACATTACCTATACATTAGCATTTTCATTGTATGAACAAAGCATGTATGTCAAAGTGCTGCCTTATGATGCTAGGGTTGTCTTATTTTAACTTTTCTGAACTGCAAGATGATTCTTAAAGGCCTTTTGTTGTTATTGCTAAATAGGCTGGATCGGGATGAACAGGTTACATTTTTCTTTTAGTGATTGTTATGGCCCTTAGGCCGTGTGTGTCTGCTCAGGGGTACTGCTGCTCGTCTGTCCTCTGCAGGTCCTGCCCTTCCCCCCCTCTGATGTTGCAGCCAGGAGGCTAGGGTGCACACCTGTCCCCAGTTTACAATCAGCGGGAGCGCAGGAGCCGGTATAAGGAGCAGAGAGCAGGTAGACTGGATGTGGAGAGTGTGGAGCACAGACGGCATGGAGAGCTGGGTGACACTGTAGTGTAGCGTGTAACAAGTCTGAACCTCGTGGTGGGGTTCACTCCCTCAGTGGAGGGAGGGTGGTATTCATTATTGTATTATATTATTTTCTCCTTTGTGGCATTTGTTTTCCTGTGAGCTACCCTTCTAGTGTGCAGTTTGCTGACGTGTTGTCCCAACAGTATCCGGACTGGGCGCTTCCTCGTTTTTGGGAAGTTGTTTTTTGTAGACCCTCCCTGAGGGTACCTTAGCACTTTTCTTTATTGTAAATAAAACGCCAAATGTACTGTAAAATCCATCTCCTGGCTTCCTTCAACCTGGAATGACGTTATTATTGTCACTAACCTCCTCCTCCCCTGGATTTTCCACTGGAGGTTCGTAACAGTGATACTGCTTCAGCCAAATAATTTATTTTTCTAAAGAGGTCAGCTGCTTTGCTGTTGAAACTACATCAATTTCTCTTTCACAGTCAAAACTGCGACTCCTACATGACCTTTTGTTTTGCCATTCATTAAACTACCATACTTACAGCTGGTGGTGAGGATATGGATTGTTTCTAGGCATCTGAATTTTTAATGCTAGTCAAGCTGACGCAGTGAAAAAGGCTTCCTGAGAAGTACTTTCCTTTGTGTCTCTTCCAGCTGTTCCAGCTTTGACCCAGTACTCACCCTATCCACACTTTATGAGATAATGTCACTGTCTTCCTCACAGCAACCACTGACAGGAACAACATACTGCAGCCTTTTGAAGAGCCTTCCAGTGGAGATGGAGCTGGGCTAGCGCTGAAGGGCTTTAGGCTGTAAAGCCTGTGACTCCTTAAGCAATTAGGCTTATGCGATTAACACACAATGGAGCCAAGGTCAACACTTCTAATGACTCACTGCTCCAGAGAGTCTCTTTATTAGTATGGTAGTTCTTAAAGACTGACACGCTAAGTGGCGATAAGATGCTAATGAGTGACTCTAAACCACCTTTCATTCACAAAATGTGAAGGACCTAATGGTATTTAATTCAAATAAGAGAAAAACCATTTGAGACTTTAAAGGACTTGATAGACTTTTCGGGAAATATACTTATTCTTGCCAAGAGTTAGATGAGAAGATCAATACCACTTGCGTCTATACGCTAAATATGAAGCTAGAGCCAGGACATGATTAGCTAAGCTTAGCTGGAAGCAGATGTAAATAACTTGCCTGGCTTTGTCCAACAGTAAAACACTTTCCATTTGTCAAATTCTATTTATCTATTTAACACCCTTTTCTCTTTTAGCATTACAGCATAACGGCGCCAGTAGCATGTCTGTCTTACCAGGCTAGCGGTTTTCCCTGCTACCAGTCTGTATGCCAAATTTTAAGCTAACAACGTTCTGGCTCTAATTTATATTTAAAGTTCATATTCATGAGAGTGGTATCAATCTTCTCATCTCTCAGAAAGAAAGTGAAATTGAGTTCTTCCCAAAATGTTGAGTTGTTCCTTTAATTCCTTTTATTTCCTTTAATTCATTTAATTTTTTCTGGTTTTCTTGTGTGTTGTAGAATTGTAAAATAAGCTCAGTAATATAGAACAGCATTCTCTCCAGTTTTATGTCAATGCTGCATTTTGTTGTTCTACTATACTTTCAGTGAGGGGGTTTCATGGGTTCTACTTTTATCTAACATTCAATTAGAAGACCGTGAAAACATATAGCTAAATTAAAAGCGTGGCAATCCAAACCCCCACCTCCCCAAGTTATTTTCTGCAGGAGCAGCGATGCTGTGGAACTGATGCTAGAAGGCGTATCAACCCCCACCAGAGGCAATGCTTAGAGCAGAGGCAGAGAGGCACTTTGGCTGAGACATTAGCTACACGGGCTAATGTGCATTGGCGGAGCTGCTAAATAAGTCAGCAGTGATGTTAGCATGACTGCAAACAGCTTCTGGCAATGGGGGTTTCAAACTCAGAAAGGTCATATGTCAAGGGCTTGTTGATGTGACCCAGTAGGCCTATGCAGAACAAGAATATAATTTATTAAAATAAGTATCATTAATACGACAGGCAGTATCCTTTAGTTCAGTGGTTCCCAATGTTTTTGCTTGGCACATCTCAAAGCTATGTCTACTTGTGGCCCCTGCTGGCATTTGTTTAGAGCAAAGTCTGAAAGTCTTCCCTACTCTTTGTGGGAGTCCTGACCCCCAGATTGGGAACCACTACTTACTACTACTTTAAATCTCACAAATTAACACATTATATCTCTTTGGTAGTACAAACGACAACTTGAAGGTTTTGGGGGGTTATGTGGCACACTATTTCTGGTCAAGAAATTGTTATACATAAGACCC